ATCTTCCCTCCTGAGGTTCTGCAGTAGACGTTCCTTCCTGAGGTTCTGCAGTAGATCTTCCCCCCTGAGGTTCTGCAGTAGATCTTCCCTCCTGAGGTTCTGCAGTAGACGTTCCCCCCTGAGGTTCTGCAGTAGATCTTCCCCCCTGAGGTTCTGCAGTAGATCTTCCCCCCTGAGGTTCTGCAGTAGATCTTCCCCCCTGAGGTTCTGCAGTAGACGTTCCCCCCTGAGGTTCTGCAGTAGATCTTCCCCCTGAGGTTCTGCAGTAGACGTTCCTTCCTGAGGTTCTGCAGTAGATCTTCCCCCCTGAGGTTCTGCAGTAGATCTTCCCTCCTGAGGTTCTGCAGTAGACGTTCCCTCCTGAGGTTCTGCAGTAGATCTTCCCTCCTGAGGTTCTGCAGTAGACTTCCCTCCTGAGGTTCTGCACCCTCCTGAGGTTCTGCAGTAGACGTTCCCTCCTGAGGTTCTGCAGTAGATCTTCCCTCCTGAGGTTCTGCAGTAGACGTTCCCTCCTGAGGTTCTGCAGTAGACGTTCTCTCTGTGGTGCTAGCCGTCTGCCTCATCCTCATCGACCACTGATTGCCTTCCACTCTCCCATCACTCATCATGAGGTCTCAGTATATAAATATCTATAAGGGTATATGTAAAGAAATAGAAATGAGCACAACATTAATGTAAGTTATCTGAGTATTGAGATGTTACTTATTTTGTATTGCTTATATATGAAAGTATACTTTAAATATCTTATTTTGATGAAAAAAAGACCAACTACTGTTCTACGGTCGTGTTCCTCTTGTGTTTGAGCTCGCTGTAGATGTTGATTAGCGTAGCTGCTAGCTCGTGTCGTTCATGTATCGGTGGCAAACCAAAAAAAATAATTAGCGCTTTTATGCGTCGCTTCGATATCAAGTTCCTTCATCGCTGATCTGTTGCATCCATCAGTGTGGGCAGGACATTTTATAAGAAGATGGGGAATGCTTCTGTAGGGGGCGGAGACCGGAAACCAGTCATTCATCGCAACCAGAAACTAAAGCTAAACATCTGCTAACCCAATAACCTCAACTTCAATTCTGGATTCTGGAAGAGTCTGAAACGTGACGATGACAGATGTGTTTGGGAGACAGGGAAGACCGGCCGTTCATCTGACGACCGGTCGTTCATCTGACGACCGGTCGTCATCATCTGACGACCGGTCGTCAGTTGAACGACCGGTCTTCAGATGAACGACCGTTCGTCAGATGAACGACCGGTCTTCAGTTGACTGACCGGTCATCAGATGAACGACTGGTCTTCAGATGAACGACTGGTCTTCAGATGAACGACTGGTCTTCAGATGAATGAATGTTCTCCGTCACGTTGTGTAAACTCTGGTTTCTGTCCGTCTCTTCTTCGGCATGTTCGACTCAGTTCGATGCTTCTCGTGATGTTCGTGTTAGCATGATGCTAAAGTGTTTAAACTAAAGAGCAGAGAGGGTTGCTGTGCCATCGTTGATCCCAACAGATTAATATGACATCTGTTTTTTGCTTTGCGTTGCTAAAGATATTTTTTAAGCTAACAGCAGATGGTTTCAGTAAATATAAATGAAAGTGGGTATGGTGTTGAATAGAAAACATATATATATATATATATATATATAAATCTTTAATGTGTGATTCCTCTGCTGACCACGACTGGTTCTGGTTCCTGTCCACTGAGGCCCGCCTGCAGAATCACATGGTGCTAACTCGACGCCCCGCCAACACTGGGACATTAATGGGCGGGCGTCGAGCGTTACAACCTGCAGATCACACACTCCTGCTGAGTGTTTTCTACCCTCTGTTTTCTATCTGAGATGCTCAGAACACACACCTGGGACGGCCCGCCAGACCACAGACCAGCGGTAACGAGGGGGTTCAGGTACCGGTCCACCGTACAGGCTGCAGGACCACAGACACATCGTTTGATTTACACTCTGAGGAGTTTATATATATCTCCATACATTACGTTAGGGCAGGGGGGTCAAACTGAATTTTATGGCGGGCCACATTAGCATTATGGTTGCACTCAAAGGGCCGGTTGTAACTTTTAAGACTTCATGAATATACATATATATAATAAATTAAAATAATGTTTTTTATTACATTATTGCCTCTGCATTGGATTATTATCTGATAGGGTGGTAACTTCATAATTAACTACGTCTGAAAGCAGAAGTCTGGGGCAACTAAGTCTCGTCAGTGCGCACGTCACAAAATGAGATGCATTGTGGGACATGTAGTTTATGGGAAACGTGCTTCTGTAAAGCGGCATATATATATCTAAACGTATTATATTCTTTCAGAGCTCTTGCAGGGCCACAGAAAGTGAAGTCCGGCCCGCGGCCCTGAGTTTGACCCCCCCTGCGTTAGGGGAATGTGTAAACACAGGAAATTAAGTTTTGTGCTCAAAATAAAAACTGTATAGGCAATAAATGTTTTAACTGCTGCAGTTTTAAACATTGCTCTGACGTCCAGAACAAACCTAATGAACCGGATCATAGAAGTTATAAGAACTCAGGACTTCACTTTAACAGGTTCCTGATCGACCAATAGACAGTGGGTGTTTCTCAATGTTGAGTACGCTTGCTTGGTAGCACATGTCTGCCGAGCATCTTGCTTCAGAAGCGAGACAAGAATACTTCCTGGCATTCGGAAAGCGAAGAGTGGAACAGGCGAGCAAGTGTGCAGGTGTGCGTCATATGAGAGGCCGCTTCCGCCACAGATTTGGGGAAATTGGTCCGTGCGCAAAGCATTGTGGGGATTTTAAGACCGGAGTCTACACATGTGCAGCCTCGAAATTTCTCCAACCGAAGTA